TTTATACATTATAAAGATTAATAATTAGGTTATTTTATAATTAATTTAAATTATATTATACTTAAAAATTTCTTTTTTTAATAAAATACTTAATTTAAATTAATAAATTATTAAATAGAAAATAATAATCATTCTAATTTAAAGCATAACAGAACTTATCATAATTTATTCAATTTTTTTAATATTCAATTTTTGTGAAATACATATGATCAGCAATGCAAAATTTTATTGATTAATCAATATATAGGACAGAATGACATTGCATTACTTTATCATAATATTTAATTATCCTTATACTTCAGATAATTAAAAAGATTTTTTTAAAATAAATTATGTTTAGACTCATAATATAAAATCTTTAAATCAGCTACTTTTTTTTTAATTTTTAAATAAAATATAGATTTATAAAAATTATACTTTTTATAAAATAATTTATTTAAGTTTTTGACTTTTTTAATAAGCTTATTATTTTTTAAATTAAAAGTAATCTTATTAATTTAAATAATTTATTTTTTAAAATAATTATTCTGCTAATTATTTAAATTATATTATTTAAATAAATTTAATTATAACAACTATTATATATAACAACTAATTAGAAGAGCTAATAAAATAGTTTTTCATTTATAATGTAAATATCAAATATCAAACTTTATTAGCTCTTCTAATAAGTAGTTATATATAACATTTGTTATCTAAAGTGAAACAAAAAATTATATATAGATGTTTTGTAGTAGAAAAGAAGAAAATTACCAAAAAAATTTTTTTGAGTTAATATTAAATCTGGATTTATTTTACTAAAAAAATAATATTTAGCTTATAAAGTAAAAAAAAATTTTTAGTAGTTTTCTTTCTTTTTACTGCAAAGCACTTATATATTAATATTAAGAAATTTAATAATATGATTATGTAATAATGTCTATTTATCTATATATATTACTAAAAATTTGGATAACATTAATTTACAAATAGAATACAGTTAATTTTTAATATAGTGAACTCTTGATATAACGAATTTTTTGAACAAATATAATAAGAATACTCTTATTATATCAAATTAGCCAATTAAATCTCTTAAAATCTTTACTATAACCTTATAATGAAGTTAAGGTTTAGAATATAGAGTTTGTTATAACAAGAGTTGACTGTATATAGTATTTCATTCTAAATACACAATAGATTATTTTCTAATTATAAATATATTTTATTTAATATTTAATTCAAATAATTTTACATAAGTTTTTAAAATATTTTTAAAGTTATTTATAAACATATTTTTAATATTTTTTTTAAATATATTATATAAAAATATTATTATAATATAATTATTAGATTATAAATTTATTTATTTTTTTTTTTTTTAACGTGCGGTAGCTTTGCACAATCTTTATTTAAAATTAAAGTAAAATTTTACAAAATTATAAATTACAAGATAGAAAGTACAAAAATTCCTATTTAGCAATAAAACTAAATCAAAATCAACCTTGCACTGTTCCAGACTAACCTACTCAAATAAACTTTGAATAGGATCAACTATCTAGTACAGAGGGTGTGATTGCTACTGATCTAAAAATTCAACCAGTTTGTATCAAACCTAAAGGAAGAAGTAAAGTATGTAGGAATACTAAAATTGTGTGATGATGATGAAGGAAAGCTAGTGTTGGTAAAATGTAATTTTCGATCATTGAGTGAGATGTTAAGATTTTCAAAATTTTTGATATCATTGCAATGATCAAGGCAAATGGATTTTATTTAGAAAAATGCATGATGGTAAGTAGAAGACAGGAGACCGTTTGTTAATTGGAGGTTGTTAATAAGGCAGTGTATTTTGTTGAATAGTGAAAGGGATACAATTCCTTTGATCAGGTCAATAAAGTTAAAAGAGTTAAGTTGATCATTTAGGGATCAAATAGTCAACTCTAGAAGATCCGTAACATCCTGAGTGTCTGAGGTTAATGTAATGAGATGATGTATAAAAAATTTTTTGGTCGAGAATATAATATCAATGAAATGGTGTTTAATTTTGACACAAGTCCAAACATGATTAAAGGTTTCATAAGTACACGAATATTTAGGACAATTCTATAATTGGTCATATAGATTTGGATGTCTTATTTTGAGAATTTCAAGGGTAGGAAGCAGTTCAAGTATGAGCTTGGTTTTAAATTTTTGAATGGAAGAGGCTTTGAAGGATGTATAAGAGTTGTTTTCATTATCGTTGAGAATGAAAGAGATTCGAATCCAATCCACATTTATTGTATTATATTTCTTCAAGTGTGAAAGTAGTTGTATATTATAAAAATTGATTGATCTGAGAAAGTCTTTCACGAACAATCTTGGTAGAATAAGTACAATATTCTCGTTGAAATAGAGATTATAGTGGTGTTCTAGAAATTTGTTATTTAGAGTGATTGGGGGATCATATTAGATTATAAATTTAAATAATAAATTAATTAATAAATAAATATTTAAATAATATAGATAACTCTCTATAATCACTTTATATAGTTATATTTTCATATTTATATTAACTCAAGTTATTAATAACTTATTAAAAAGATCTTTCTTTAGTCATATCATATAATATTTTATAATCACATCATTTTTTTTGGTCTTTAAGATATGATTATAAATAAAATCAACTATGTATTTTTTTAAAAAAACTGATTTATAAATATTAATTAAATTTAATTAATAATTATTAATTTTATTTTAAATTATATATAATTCTCTTTTAAATAATAATTATTAAAATTTATCATTTAACTCATTAAAAACTATTTTTTTATTATAATAGTTTTAATTTTATAGAGCTTAAATAAAAGTTACTTTATATAATTAATTTGTAAAATGTTATATATTATAAATTTCAATATAAAATAACTGTTAGAAAAAAATTAATTTACTTTTATATACAAATATAAATTTGATATTTTTAAAAATAATAATTATGAAAAAATTATATATTTTATAAATATCAAATTAATTTTAATAAAAATTAAGATTTAAGTAATTTAAATAATTTTATTTAAATTAATGATAAAAATTTTTTTATATTAAAATGACAAAATTATATAAATAATAAAAAAAAATAATTTGTTTAAAAACAATTTTTTTTTTCAATAAATAATCAATATATAATCAATATATAATAAATAATCAAATTATATAATACTAATGATAATTATTAATTATTAAAAATAATTTATAATATATCAATTACATTTTTTTGATAATAATTAATAATATTTAAATATATTAATTTAATTTAATTCTGTTAATTAACTATAATAAGAATGGTTAAATTTTGACTAATTCTTTATGATATTTGAATTTAAAATAATTTATTATATGTAATAATCAATAAAAAAAAAAGAAATCTAAATTTTAATAAATTATTTTTTATTAATTTATTAATTAATTATAGTTATATACTAATAATTTAGAAATTAAAATAATAAAATTTTTAAATGTTTTTTTTTATTAATATCATTTTATATATCTAATTTTTTGATTAATGTATACAGTCAACTCTTGATATAACGAACTCTTGATATAACAAATTTTTAAACAAATATAATAAAAATACTCTTGTTATAGTGAATTGGCTAATCAAATCTCTTAAAATCTTCACTATAGCCTTATAGCGAAGTTGAAATCTAGGATATAGAATTCATTATAACAAGAGTTGACTGTAGTTTTATTATTTTGATTAATGTATAATTTTATTATTTTTAATATAATTTTTATTTAAAATTTAATATTTTTTACTAGTTTATTTTATTAATTTAATAATTTACTAGATTTTAAAATAAGTTTTATAATACTATATAACTTAACTTTTTAAAAAATTAATTTTATCAAATTTAAAATTTTAATAATATTATTTTATATTATTATAATTACTAAAAAAAGTATAATGTTATATAAGTAAATATATAAAATCTATATTATACATATATTTGAAACTATACTATACAGATATTATTTTATAATAAAGATAATATGTTAACTTTTAAAATTTTAAATTATTTATTATATAAATTATTTATTATCTAAAAAAAAAAAAAAAGGTATTAAAAAAAAAATAATTATAATAATTTTATAGGTAAAAATCATAAATAAAATCCAAAAAAAAAATATGGAAAATGGCTATTTTTTAATTTAAAAATTAAGCAAAAAATAAATTAATAATATTAAATATTATAAAAAAAATAAATAAATAAATTCAAGTTTATATTATTATATTATATAAATTTAATTTTTAAAATAATATATTCTATAAAAAAAAAAATAAATAAATATTTTATTTAATTAAATAATAGTATCTTATCAATAAATAAAAAGATTCTTATAAGAATATTAGTATTAAAATTTTAAAAGATTTTTTTAAGAATTTGTTTTTGATTTTGATTTTTAAAAATAAACAACTTTTTATAATATCCTGAAAAATAATTTAATATTTTAAAATATTAAAATCTTTGTAATTTAATAAAATAATGTTTTTTTTTAAAAAAAAAAAATTTATTTATTTATTTAACAATAAGTTTTTTAACTATTTATAAGTTTAATTATTTTCAAAATTACCTCTTTTTTTTTATATGTAATATTATATAATCTTAAACCTTTAATAAGAAAGTATTATTTTTCGTTAAAATGTTATATATAAATTCCATATGCTTTTTTTTAATGATCATGTTTTTCAAATTTAAAATATAACTAATCACGTGATTCATGTATAAATCTGGCATTCTTGGTTTATTTTTATAAGTACGTTTGTATGTAATTTACAAATTTGGTTACTAAAAAAAAATTGCTGCGAATAAACGATGTGAACCAATAGAACTAGAAACATTTAAAACAATCTGTTATGATTATTTAATTGTGAAACACAAACTAATAAATATAATAAATAATTTAAACAATTATAACCAATACTTATAAAAATTGGAACTTCTCTTGTGGCATCATATTCACTTTCCCGTTTGATTTGAATAGTAATGAGATACCTACAGTTTTCTAAAAACATTCGAAGAATCAATCTTAGATTCCACATCGAACAGTTACTTCAACTTTCTGCGAGGAAAACCCTTGAATTTAAATCAACCACAAGGACCAGGTCATATAATTCTATGGTTAAGAATGATGATTATGATAAATTAGATACTTCATTAAAAATTTCTGATGCCAATGAACATGCCGTTATTAGCACATTTGATCTATTTAGTATTGGTATAGGGCCATCCTCAAGGTTTGTTCAATGATCAAATCATAAATCATGTTAATATTTATTCAATAAAACCAAAATGTGACAACATTTTAGTCATACTGTCGGTCCAATGCGATCTGCAAAGAAATTTATTAAAGAACTAAAACAAAATAATGTTTTGCATAAGGTAACGACAGAAAAAGTTCTACAAAAAAAAAAAAGGTACAATTTATCTAACGATTCCTGTTTGATTAGGTTACAAGAGTTCGGATTGATCTATATGGGTCACTTGCCCTAACCGGTAAAGGTCACGGTACACCTAACGCAATTTTAATGGGATTGGAAGGAGAGACTCCCGAAGGGATTGATACAACAAAGATATTACCACGGATTGCACAAATCTCCGAAACAGGTTCAATTCATGATACTAATGGTTTGGTAAAATAGTAACCTTCATTTATCTAATATAATAATCTGATGATATCATAAAGATATTCTCAAATTAGATGGTAGTAGACCCATTAAGTTTACTCCCGAAAAACACCTTATATTTCATTATCATAAATCTTTACCAAAACATCCTAATGGTATGCGATTAATTGCCTTCGATGAACAAGGGGATTGTATAGCATCTGGTGAATTCCTTTCAATTGGAGGAGGATTTGTGGTCGGTGAAACCGAATTTCGTGAAAATGGGAAATATATTTCTCAGAAATCCGGTGAAAAGGATTTACATCTTGCTAAACGGGAGCATGTTATATTTCCATTCAGCAACGCTGAAGATCTTTTACGGATTTGTAAACGTGAAAACCTGTCTATCGCTCAATTGGTTTACCGGAATGAGTTGCGATGGCGCAGCAAAGTAGAAATAGAAAGCAAGGTATCTAATTTGTATTTATTGACCCAATCTCAAGACGATTCCGAGAAATAAATGATTTCCTTAATGTAAAGGTAATGGAAATATGGAATACAATGAATCAAAGTATTCAAAACGGATGTTTAAGCACGGAGGAATATCTGCCGGGATCTTTAAAAGTTCGCAGAAGAGCACCAGGATTATACAATAAACTTTTAAAAGATTTGTACCCTGATATCCCATCAGGGTCCGCTGTAATAAAAAATTCCTTGTTACAACCTTTACCGTCGGCCGTTAAAAATTCACCAAGCATAAATATTTTAGATATAGTGTCGGTTTATGCTATTGCCGTAAACGAAGAAAATGCGGCGGGTGGTAAAGTAGTTACGGCTCCCACGAACGGAGCAAGCGGAGTAATTCCATCTGTGCTTAAATATTACTTGGAATTCGTATCAGAGCAAAATCCTGAAGAGGTTATTATGGATTTTTTACTTACAAGTGCCGCTATTGGTATGCTTTACAAAAAAGGAGCTAGCATTAGCGCAGCAGAGGTAAATATCCAAATGTGTGAATCGCTTTTTAGCGGTCGTCTTTCATTATATTAAAGCGTCACCTTTTTTTTTTTCTTAAAAAAAAAAAAAAAAGGGGTGTCAAGGAGAAATCGGAGTCGGTACGTAATATTTACTTTTTGATTAATAAATTATTAAACTCGATTCAATATCCTCTAATTAGAAAGGTTATTTTATGAAAAAGCCTGTAGCATGGCAGCCGCAGCATTTGCCGCAGTAATGGTAATATTAACATTTTAAAGGATCGGTTTAAACAACTTTATATAATGTAAACGTTTCTAAAACAAATAGGGAGGAACGTTGGAACAAGTTGAGGATGCCGCAGAAATCGGCATGGAGCACAATCTCGGATTAACTTGCGATCCAATCAATGGTTTGGTACAAATACCATGTATAGAACGAAACGCATTAGGTGGGATCAAATCTTTAGGAGCTGCTCAGCTTGCGTTAAAAAACAGAGACTCGGTTGCAAAAGTTACCCTCGATCAAGTAATTGAAACGATGCGTCAAACTGGAATTGATATGCAAACAAAATATAAAGAAACAAGTTTGGGAGGGTTAGCCGTTAACGTACCCCTTTGTTAGACGTTACACGCATTATGTGTCACATTAATTAATAAATAAAATTTTGAAATAAAAAGGAAATTTCACAAATTTTTGAAAATTTGATATGGATGAATTTGATATTGAGAATTCCAACTTGGAGATTAATAATTCGAATAAACCTCTTCCACTTAAATCAACGATCGAACAACTTGTAAATGGAAAATCAGAACCTATCTTAACAAAAAAAGAATTATTTGCATGGTACATTTACGCATTTGCTTGTGAAGTTTATTCGGTAGTTTCAATATCGAGTTTTATACCTTTAATTTTAGAACATTTCGCCTTTGAGAAAGGTGTATCTAGCATCAATCATCAAACGCCTTGTAATGAAGAGCTTTCGGAAGGAGTACGATGCGTTATAAACATCTTTGGGTTTTGGGTTGATACGGCCTCGTTCAGCTTATACACATTTTCATTGAGCGTAATCTTGCAAGCGATTACGACTATTTCAATTGGAGCAACCGCAGACCATGGAGAAATGCGTAAAACGTTGCTTTTATACTTTGCCTTTGTTGGTAGCATTTCAGCAATGTTATTTTTATTAATTCCTTCCAGATCGTTCATAATTGCTGGTATTTTGGCTATTATTGGAAATGTGAGTTTTGGAGCAGCGTTCGTTTGCTTTAATGGATTTTTACCAGTTATGGTTAGAAATCACAGAGATGTAAGAAGAATTTCAAATGAAATAAAAGATCATTTAAGTAATGTAGAAACGCAACATCAACATGCTGCTGATACTCAAGTTGATGTTTATGATAATGCTTTAGAAGAGCGAGGACTTTTAAATTCACAAGATCAGATATTAATTAATCTTGTAGAAAATTTAATAAAAGCTAAAGATCACATATCGACTCGTATCTCCGCACGTGGTTTTGCGAGTGGATATCTTGGTGGTATAATCCTTTTAATCTTTTGTCTTTGTATTTCTTTTTTATTACATAATACAATTTATAGTTTACAAATTGGTGTATTCCTTTCTGGAATTTGGTGGTTTTCATTTTCTTTATTGGTTGCTAAATGGTTACAACCTAGACCTGGACCTCCTTTGTTTCTTAGCGAGGGAAGTAAAGTAAGATGGATAGATTACATATCATTTTCTTGGAAGAGATTATGGAAAACCATATTACAAGCTAAAGAGTTGGAAATGACTTTTCGATTCTTAATGTCATGGATCCTGATATCAGATGGTTACACTACCATAACATCGGTAGCTTTACTTTTCGGGAAGACAACATTACGAATTCCTGAATCCGGATTGATTTTCTTGTCTTTGATCGCTCCCATATCCGCCTTAACTTCAACTTTATTGTTACCACGTTTAATTAAGCTTAGTATTAAAAATACGATTCTTTTACTCCTTTATCAGTTATAGCATAAAGGGCAAAAAATTCTGTTTCTCTTCCACGCGGACCTAATTCTCCAAACATCGTTTTGCAATAACTCTGT